TCTCTCTCTCTCTCTCTCTCTCTCTCTGTCTCTCTCTCTCTCTCTCTCTCTGTATTGCATGTATCCTGTCCCTGTAGAGGTCAGAAGAGGGCACAAGACCCCTAGAACTGTGTGGGTTCTGGGAACTGAATCTTGGTCCTCCGGAAAAGTAATAAGTGCACTTAACCACTGAAAAAATCTCTCTAGACACCTGGAATGTCCTATTAATACACTACTTCATCAAGGCATGGTGAATCATGCTTGAAGTCCCGGTACTCTGGTAGGATGATGCAGAAGAATTGCCATGAGTTCAAGGCTGCAGAATGAGACCCTGCATCAAAAGACAAAGCAAAGAAAATGCCCCCTTCTAGTCTGCAATTCTAACATGATCTAAAACATAAAAATAATGACCATCCTTCTTAAAGTCAGTCAACTAAATCTTTTTGAGTGTGCCCACAGAAGTTAGAAGAGTGAGTCAGATGCCCTGGAACTAGAGTTATTGATGTTCGTGAGCCACAATATGGGTACTTTGAATCAAATGCAGACCCTCTGCAAGAGCTAAGTCCTCTAAACTGCTGAGCCAACTCTCCAGCTCCAAGATGCATTTTTAAAAATGAGATGGGTAAACCACGCCAGACCAGGCCCTCAGTTGCCTGTGGTTTGTTGGGATCACAAGAGCTGGCACCGTTTGCTGTCGTTTTCTGCCAACCAGAGGGTTGAACACAATGGTAATCTCAGAGATTTCCCTCCCTAAAGCCATCTTGCCACTTTAACTGGAGAGATGTGTTTGGACTTAGGAGAGCAGCTGTCAAGATTTGGTGGATTCAAGCTGTTAATGATATTAAGTGGAAACATCTCTGCAAAGCTGGGTTTTCAGGTGCGGTGTGCTACCTCCAAATGACAGCCCACTAGTGGAACGTCGGTGTGGTAATTGTATTTTAGAGAAAGAAAATGAGGAAAAAAAGAAATTCATAGTTTGAAGACTTACTAAAAAGATTTAGTGGGAAAACAAGAAAAAAAATTCAATTGTTTTCATTCAAATTTAGAATACATCCTAACAGTGTTCAGAAAAAGTCCATGCATGGTCAGACCAGATGAATGATTGAGACTACTTGAATTACTTGATACACACACACACACACACACACACACACACACACACACACACACACACTTAAATTTACCTGCCTCATATTTTTGAGACTATTTTTATTTAGTTTACAAATCAATTTTATCTTTGGTGTAATAGTCACAATTTTCTGAAATTTATCTTTCCTTGAGTTTGTGTACCCATTAAGAATGGTTAAAATTATATTTGTCTTTCATAAATGAATCATTTTATTGAATCTCCATGAAGCATTTCATAAAAGGTATGATTATGTGAATTTAATGCATATGACCCAAGCCTTCAGAAATGATGAGTTATAGGTAGTAAAATGTACAATTGAGATAGATATATATATTAAGCACTTTGGATTGTCATATTTTTAAAAGAGAAAAAATTGAAAGGAATTTACATTCTGTAGTATTCATTTGGGTACAAAGAGTTAAGTCAGAAAGCACATCATGTCAATCATTTGCTGATAGGAAGGAGTTGTTGTAACATTTGTTTTCGCTTACAAACAGTTTAATCGCCTTTGATTTCTGACTGGATTCATTTCCCTCCTCATCTAAAGACGTAGGGTTTATAGATCATCTAGAAACTACTGTATTATGAAAGTTCTCACATGACACAGGGGTGCAGCTTGATTTGCAGATTGCGAAGTGGAAGCTGGCTGAAGGATTCAGACCGGTGACTTAGACGCTTGACAGTATTGGTGTTGATCCATTCCCAAACTTGTGT